AGTCAAGAACGGGCCCAGGAGAAGTAAGGTGGTCAGTGAAAAGTGGGAGGTGCCAGGAGAGGAACGGCCCAATCTTAGGTTCTGCAGCTTTTACAGTATAAATCCTCCTACCATGGACGGTGCTGAGCTTAACAGCTAGCTCACACATTTCTGAATATCTGACAATGTAAACTCCTGGGAAGCCGGCACAGGCCTGTACGCCACTGGGTGATGGCACACTCAAATCCTGAAGCAAAGGGTCTCCTGAAAATAACCGCAGCTTTGCTAGGTTTTTTAAACCCAAGTCAATTTTTTTTTATCAAGTTAAATCCTCTCTTTTGACTCTAAGGTAAAGCTCACTGCCCCAGTCAGTGTACCAATCTTGCTGAAGGTTTCCTTCTGTTTCTCTGAACCCTCATCTATCCCAAGGACTGTCCCCTTCTGACTAAATATGTGAGACTAAACGTTAGATCTTTGCCTCCAGAGCCAGATCTGTTGTTCACACAGGGTCGCTATGAGGCATCTCAATGGCACTTAAGAGCAGCAATGTGGTGTTAACGTTTTATTGTTCCAAATGGCTTCCCCAGTTATTTGACTTTACCACATCGATGGGCAGGAATATACGAAGAGGATGTGTTGGCCTATTCACAAGGGAAATGATCAGTCTCGCCCTTAAAATGAGCAGATCCAGCAGCAGAAAAGAAGAAACCTCACTATAGTAAAGCAGCAGCAAGAGAATGGACAGCATTCTCTAGGATCAGGAATTCTTGCGCCAGCCAAGCTACAGCCTACAGGAGCAACAGCTACAGCAGCTGCCGCGGAGAGTAAGAGACCTGGCATGACAGGGAGACCTTCAGACCGCTCCACCACTGAACCAGAGCTAAGAGCCTTCTGCCCAGGTTTGCTGGAGGACTGGGGCTGAGGGAGAGCCATAAATGGCAGGACTGAGAGCTCTGTAACACGGACCTAAAGGTGCGAGGCTCAAGGCCGAGACAGCTGAGAGTACATACTGGAAGCTTTCCTGACTGTATTCTGCTACTAACCTGACTTGAATAGCCTTTTGACTTCCCTAATATGGTTCCATGTGGGGTATGAGCCATTGCATCAGATTGTGGACACAATGAAGCAGTAAGTTTGGTGCGGGGATGAGAACAAAGATGTGGGAGAGTGGGGGACATGTCTGATTTTAAGAGAATTGGGTTTTGGTAACCTTAACACTGAGTTTTACTCCAGAATTGACCCTGAACCCAGTGCCAGTGGCAAAAAGGAAATACAACTGACAGCTAAGGAAGCAAAGGAGGATGGAGCCTCTGGGTTCAACCAGCCATCCCCACTGGACCCACCTGGGAAAACACTTTGCAGTCCAGAGGGGAGCAAATGACAGGAAAATATCTTCTAACAGAACAAGAAGGCAAGGAGCTTTAACCTAAGACCACAAGTAAGGAGATAAAGCGTCCTCCCTTCCCCCCCTTTATATCTACGCCCCTGTTCAGCATGAAGAAGCCAGAGAGTCTGCATCCAATTCCCAAATCAATAAGACAGTTGGTTTAATTACTATTGGAAAATGCTTGTCATTCCTCTGTAGCATCTGGTCCCCACTGGACCCTCATCATTTCATTCACCTGCTCCCCCCACCGACCAAACTGTGCAGCTCTGCAACTGCATCCTGGCCCATCCTCACCCTTCTGCCCCCAACCCTCACCTCCTTGTACCCCCAATATGTTTTTCCCAATAAAAAAAAAGAGTTAAAAAAAAAAGAGAGAACTGCTTTTTCTGTTGTTGTTGACATGAACAGTTCCCCTTTGTAAAAGCTGGTAGAAGTCAGATACAAGCAACAACAACTTAAAGGTGTGACACGTATACATTAACACAAATCATTAGTAAACTCAACTCAGTGTCATCAAGTCTGCACTAACTGGTAGCTGACCCCTCTGCCCTGCCCCCCACGGTCTCTGAGGCTATAAATCACATGGGCATTTGCCCGTTTTTCTCCTGCAGATCGCTGGTGGACTGGAATTGCCAGAGGGGTGCGGGCTTGGAGTTAGCAGTGCAACACCTACTGGAGCTCCCCCCCAAGAGGACAGAGCAATATATTTTCAAAAGGGAATTAATTTGCTTTTTCTCCAAAGAAAATTGCTTAGAATTTTCCATTCCATTAATATGTAACAGTCTTTCATCTTGGGGGGGGGGAAGTGAGGGGAGAAAAAGAATATCCTCAATATAGCAAGTAATACTGGGTAATTTCTCTAAAGGCATCAGGGAATGGGAAAGCTACTTAGAAAAGACTTCACCTTTACACTCTTTTCTCAGTCTGGTGGACAACTACAGCTGACCTCTCTGCGCACTGGAAAGAAAGGCAAATTAACCTCCAGGAAAGCAAGGCAGACCTGTGAGGACGACAGCATTCCCAGTGTCATAGTGACAAGCGTAGTCTGTACCACAAAGAACAGAGAATCACAGCTCTATAGCGTGGAGAATCAGAGTCACACAGCAAGGAAAATCATAGCCTCACAGCACAGAGAAGCCCAGCCATACCACATGGAGAATCAGTCACACAGCATGCGCAATCACAGGCATACCGCGAAGAGAATCACAGTCCTACCGCGCAGAAAAACAATCACAGCCATACTATACAGACTCACAGCCATAGCTTAGAGAACCACAGTCACAGCACACAGAGAACCACAGTCACACAGCACAAAAAATCACACCATACAGCACAGAGAATCACAGTCCTACCACACGGAGAATCAAAGTCATACAACACAGAGAATCAGTCACACTGCATGGAGAAGCACACCATTCAGCATGGAGAATTACAGTTCTACTGCACAGAGAATCACAGTAACACAACACGGAGAATCACAACCTACCGCACAGAAAATCACTGTCATAGGGTATGGAGAATCACAGTCACAAAGCACAGAGAATCACACCGTTATCACGGTGTAAATATTGTATAAAACCATTACTGCAGAAGGAATACGAGGCTCCAAGGGGCAGGAGCGTGGAAGCACAGGGTTGAGGATGGGCAGAGGGGGTGTTAATCACAGGGCTGCACAAGTCTATGGGTGGGGTGGTGAAGGAAATGGGAAGGATCTTGTGCGGAAAGTAATATATTCGAACTTTGTAAATAAATGAGTATGAAATAAAAAAAATTTTTTAAATAAAGTGAAACCAGATTAGATGATAAAAAAAGAAAAAGAACTCCTGTGGCCAAGAAAGAAGTTAAAGTGAGAAGAGAGTGAAAAGAAGCAGGACGGTACCACAGGGAAGAGCTCTGGATGGTGCCACCCCGAGTCAGGTTCTCCATGAGGAGAAGTTTTCATCTTAAAAAGGCTGGTAAAGACACCGAAACAAAGATGAAGAAAAGGTAGAAGAAAGGGTATTGAGAAAATAAATAGAATGAGAAAAAGCAATTCTAGATTTAAGTCAATGAGGAAAGAGATAAAAATAAAAAAGTTCTGAAATAAAGAGGAAGCTAGCCTACTTCATATAAGCTAATTTCTAGCCTTTCGGTAATGAAAAGATCTCAATAATCTAAGATAGGTATGAGAAGAATAAAAAAGTTTGGAAGCCATTAAGTGAGATGATGCTACTGTTGTTGTCAGGTACCACTGAGTCGAGTGTGACTCACAGCCACTCTGTGAACAATGTATCTGAACCTTGTCCTATCCTGGGCCAGCCTCACACCTCCTAACACACTGAATCCCACTGCAGCAGTCCCTGTGCCAATCGATCTGGTTGAGGGTCTTCCTCCCTTTCGCCAGCCCTCCACCTTTGTAGGCATGTCTCTCTCCAAGGAACAGTCTCTCCTAGCAACAGGCCGAAATCATCTTTGCCTCCAAAGAGCACTCTGGCTGCACTTTCTCGTTTGTTCTTTCGACAGTCCATGGGATATTCACTATTCGTCTCCAAAACCACAGCTTAAAAGCATCAAATCATCTTCTGAAATTCTCACTCACCATCTAGCTCTCATATGCATAGCGAGCAATCAGAAAGACAATGGCCTGGATCAGACGCACCTTACTGGAAGCAGGAGTGGCATCTATGAACTTTGATAAATGTCGACAGTTATAGAGGGGCTTCAGGCCTTTTGCTCACAGGGTCGCTATGAGTCGTGTTCGACTTGAAGACAATGAACAACAGTCCTCAAAATGACAAGATGAGTAACTGGGCACCTTCCTCTAATAATGTACTGGAAGGCAATTTAAGTTTAACTCTAAGATATATCCAAGGCTAATAAATATGGAAATAAGCAAATATTTAACTATAAACACATATACAATAGCATTATGTATAAAAAAATAGAATGAAGAAAAACCTTGTGTGTAAAACAATAGGTAAATAAATTATAATAAATTATTTAGATTGTCATATTAGGATTTTAATTACATTCACACTGCACTATTTAACCGTTCAGCACACATCTGTTGAGAGTCTGCTATATTCATACCTCTGTGAATGTTTTTGTTAGGTGCCATCAAATTGACTACAACTTTCAGCAACCCTTTGAGTTATCTAACACCAAAGAGTTCATTGAAGATAAAGACTGGGGAAGAACTTGAGAAGCTTCTGGAAAGGGCTATTTCCGTAACTCAGAAGGACACGATCCAGCATAAGCAATGGCTTCGAATCCTGCCCTTTCCTATGCTATCCTCACCATCTCCAACACACTTGAGAGCTCACGGTTCAACTCCTGCCCTCAAGCGTTTATATACTGTTAAAAGGATCAGTGGAAGGAGCTTAAATTCTTTTAAATAGAACAAAATCAGAACTTAAAAAAGACTGCACAGAAGGCGTTCATTTTAGCCTATATCTGTATGACCACATGTTTGCATATTATATTTCTGGCTAGAAAAAGATATTAGCCATAATTTCTTTTTTAAGTCATTAACACAGAACAGTAGAAATAAGGATATCTTTATGTTCTTACTATTCTGAGAGAAAGCTCCATTACTTGTGACTATGAGAAATCTTTTGCAGACAGAATGGCCGTCACACGACCGGCTCTCTCTCACCTCATCCTCGCTGTGATGCTCTGAGGTCAACTTCAGCACATTTCTGCAATCGTCCACGAACGCGCCCGCAACCAGCTCCGCGTGGCTCAAGAACACAGGGATGTCGTCCTTAGTCAGTGGGTCTTCACCCACGATTTTGGTTATCATGAGGTCTAGAAATGTCACCCTACAAAACAGAAGAGATTGCCACATAAGTCATACTAAAACTCTACATGTCAAATAATTGTATGCTTTGTTTAAAATGCTTTACCAGGTTTATAATATTTAGCTAAGAAAAGACTATTTTGTGACTAAAATGAGTCACTAATTATGTGACAACTATAGAAACTAGAGAATTATCTAATGTGTCTTTTACACATCAATAATTCTAAGCAATGAAATAATTCAACACGTATTAAATGACCTGTAAGCTGAAGTTTTAGGAAAACTTCTATTAGTATAACAACAAACACTTAACATTCATTCACTATGTAACCGAGTTAGGCATTTAAGATGCATTATCTCATTCCACGCCTGAAAAAACTCCACGACACACTATTGTTAGTTGCTGCCGAGTCACTTCTGGCTCCCGACAGCCCTGACAGAGCTCTGCCTCAGAAAGCGTCCTAAACTGTCATCTCACAGCAGTGCTTCACCACACCCTTCTCCTTCACAGCAGCCTGGGGGGACTGAACTGCCAAGCTTTTGGTGGTAAGAGCGGGGTTAATTAGGGAAACAGGGTGGGGAGTGGAGGAGGCAAAGAACATCACCCAATGCAAGTCTAGGTTTAGTCCAACAGTCCCAAGCAAGATCAACAAGGTACAATTTCTATATCAGTACAAGTTCTAGTTCACTGAGTAGCACAAATCCAAAGCATCCAGCAAGGTTTGCCTCAGAGCAGATGTAAGTCAGCTTCTCTTTCAATCATCAGCAAACAAAACCTTTGACTACAGCCAGCACAAACGCAAGAAGCCTCAGGTTCCACCTCGCCTCAGTACTCTCCACCACCATCATCGCAGGGTTCTTTCACCAGCTTCTCGTGTCACAGTATGGGAAGCATGATCTCTCTTATCCGAGTCCTACAGCTGTTGAAGATTTGCAAGACCATGTTTCCTCAGTTAAGGTAGCAGGAGGCCAGAGGGGTCCAACATAACGGCTAGAAAAGGCAACTTTTATGCTAACATTGCAGCTTCTTAAGTCTCCCACTAAACTGCTGTTGCTGTTGTTATGTGCCATCAAGTCGCCTGTGACTCCTAACAACCCTATGTACAAGAACCCTAAACCCTGCTCTATCCTGTGCTAATCGTTATCTATGATATACCTACCCCCATTGTCCCAGTCACTGAATCAATCCAGCTCATCAAGAGTCTACCTCTCTTGCGCTGTCCCTTCATAACAACAAGAAGCACGATGTCCCTCTCCAAGGACTGGTCCCTCCTTACAACATGTCCAAAGTATGTCAGACAGAGCTTCATCAGCCTGGTCTCACTCTTTCCAAGAACTTTTTTGTTTCTCCAGCACCACAGCTCAAAGGCATCAACTCTCCTTCAATCATCCCTAGTCATTATCCAGCTCTCTGACGCATAGCAAGTAACTGCAAAGACTATGGCCTGCATCAGGCGCACCTTAGTCTCCAAACTGACACTGTTCTCTTCAGTACTTTGGAGAGGTCTCTGACAGCAGACATTCCCAATGCAATTTGTCTTTTAATTTCCTGGCTGCTGGTACCAAGAGTGTTGATTGTGGAGCCAAGCAAACTAAAGCGATTAATAGTCTCAATCTCTTACCATCTATCATAATGCTGCCAACTGGCTTTGTTTTCCTGATGTTGAGCTTCAATTCATATTGAAGGCTGCAGTCCCTGACCCTCTGCAGCAAGCGCTTCAGGTCCTCCTCAGTCTCAGCAAGCAGGGTTGTGTCATCTGCATAACGCTGACTGTTGATGAGTCTTCCTCTAGTCCTAATGCCACATTTCTCCTCATAAAGCCCAGCTTGCCAGATAATCGGTTTGTCATACAGAAAAGTATGGAGATAGGACAAATCCCTGGCATACACCCTTCCCAATTCTGAACTATGCAGTGTTTTCTCACTCTGTTCTGATAACTGCCTCCTGGTCCAAGTATTGGCTTCGCATAAGCACAATCAAGTGTTCTGGGATTCCCATTATCCTCAGAGTCAGCCACAGTTTGTTGTGATCCACACAGACAAATGCCTTTGAACAGTCAATGAAACACAGACATTCCTCTGGTACTCCCTGCTTTCAACCAAGATCCATCTGATATTAGCTATAATATCCCTAATACCACAGCCTCTTTTAAATCCAGCCTGCACGTCTGGCGTTCTCTGCTGATGTGCTGTTCAATCCAAATTCGGAATTTGTTCCCATCCCAAAGAAAGATGACCCAACAGAGTTGGAGATTATCAAACAATATGATTAATATCATACTCAAGCAAGATTCTGCTGAAGATTACCCCACTAAATAGCGAGGAGTAAATAAGACCTTGATCAACAAAAACTAAGCTGCTGACTGAAAGGCTGGAGTTTCAAGTCTAACCAGAGGCACCCAAGAAGAAAAGGTGGTCAGTCCACCACCGCAAACTCCAGTGAGCACATTCTACTGACGCACACACGTGGCCGTTAGTCAGTGTCAACTCAACAGGAACTGGCCTTTGGAGAGCAGCAGTGGGTCGGTCAGTGGTGGAACTCTCTTCTTCCACGTGCTCGACCTGGATTTGATTCCCAGACACTAGACCTCATATGTCGTCACAAAAGGTGGAAGCTTATGTGCTGTCTTGATGCTTAACACTCTTCAGTAGAGCTTCCAGGCTAATAAAGACAAAGGTGTGGGGATCTGCTTCCAAAAGCAGTCCATGAAGGAAGATGCTCTAGGTCACAGCAGCTCAACAGTACAGAACCAGACCAGGGAGCATTTGTTCCACGAGGGGCCACTATGTACCATAGGCCTAGTGCACCCCACAACAGTGACAATGGGGCCCAGGACACCTGTGCAGGGCCGGCCACAGGAGTCTCCGTCTGACTCAGAGACACAACCTCGAGTCAACAACACAGACCACTCTACCCTTCTAGGATAAAGCTGCACACCTAGGATCATCTATCCAGTCATCCTTTCCTTCTGTTGTACATTTCCCACTGCTGTGTATATAACTACATGTCTAAAAACATACGTATTCAAAGGCACAACTTTGCTCGCTGAAACGGAGGAGGACCTCATGCACTTACTGCAGAGGGTCAAGGACTGCAGCCTTCAGTATGGACTGAGGCTCAATGTCAAGAAGATAAAAATTCTCACCACTGGATCAATCGGTAGCATCAGGATGGATGGCGAAGAGATTGAGAGTGCTCACAGCTTCAGTTTGCTCGGCTCCACAGTCAACACTCTTGGCACCAGTAGCCAGGAAATCAAAAAACGTATTGTGATGAGAAAACCTGTGGTTAGGGACCTCTCTAAAGTACTCAGGAGCAACGGGGTCTCTCTGGAGAATAATGTGCGCCTGATACAGGTCATGGTTTTTGCAATCACTTGTTATGAATCAGAGAGTTGGACAATGACCAAGGAGGATAGAAGGAGAA